AGATCCATTCAAAATAAAAAAGAAAGTGTAGATACAAACTTTGCATCTGCCGGAGTATCTCCAATTAAGGTCAAAAGATTGCACAAGTCAGGTAAAATCAGAGAAGTTAAACAAAAATTGACAGCATTAACAACCTCCATTAAAAAAAAGGTAGCCATTTATGATATACTTGGAGAATTTGAAGATGATGATGAGATTGAATTTGATCAATGGATAACAACAGATAGGTCAAACTTGACACATAATAAAGAGCCAGTGTTTGAATACATTGAACTAGTATGTAGAAAACTAGAAAAACTTGCACCACATTTGTATTTAGCAAAGAATCAAGCATTATACCTGAGATCAAGAAATGAAGATATGAATGAGGTAAGAGCATTATTTCTGGGTGATTTTTCAGAAAACTATAAATTTGTAGTTCAGGATGAAGTGCAAAGCTTTCATTGGACAAATTTACAATGTACACTTTATCCAGTGACTATTTACTTCAAAAAAGAAGGCATTCTCGAATACAAATCCTATTGTATTATTTCGGATGATATGATCCATGATGTGAACATGGTTTATAAAATTATTAAGGTTGTTTGCAATGATATAAAAAAAATTTGCCTCAAATAAAAAATATTGAATACTTTTCAAATGGGTGTGCAGGTCAATATAAGAATTGCAAAAATATGTTAATTCTTTGTTTCCATTGTGAAGACTTTGTGAAGATAACATTGTGAAGATAACAAAAACAGGACTTTGCTACAATTTAGTCAAAGAGGATATAAAAAAAAAAATTTTCCCTAAGGAAGTAGAGATTTTTATATTTATGAGTCTATTATGTCTTATCCATTCTTTTTTTAAATATTATGTTTTGTGAACCAACTTGTAAATAATGTGAAAGTAAAAATAAAATCACTAAAGTTTAGTATTTAAAAAAAAAAAAATTATATACGTTTAAATTTTGTTGTAAGTATCATATGAAAATGAAAAAGATAAAAAAGTCACTAAATTTTTAGTTTCTAATTTGATTGATTGGTAAAAGGTGGGGTTATATTAAGTGTTTAATTTAAAAAATATTAAAAAATTTTGTGTCTATATCATTATCATAATTCCTCAAGTAAATATAAGGCCAAAACAAAATTGGTTTGAAAAGTAGGTGTTGATCTTATTTTTAAGAAAATCGAAATTAAATTTTTTTTATATCAGTCAGATTTTTTTTATAGCTATAATTGTCAATGCCCTTTTTTCTCGGCGTTATAAAGTGCATTTTATGGATCTTAAAATAAGCTACATTCCCTTCTTTTGACTATAAAAAACTATATTTTTCGGATTTAAGTTAAATCCGAAAAATATAGTTTTTTATAGTTATATTATAATTTTTATAATTTACAGCAATTTAAAGTTTTCTTGATTTTGACTAAAAACTGAGGGGGGAAAAGTGCCGAAAATCATTCCGTTTACTTTCACCTGAATATGGTGCTTGTAGTGATGCCACAATTCTGAAACTTTGTACCAAAAGAGTTTAAAATCTGTTAAATTTTAACAGGTTTTAACTCCTCTTTGATTCTGTAGTTTTGAATTTTGTGGACAAGTCCATTGTGTCGTACATGTCACTTCCGTCCTTATTTTGAAACCTGACATCGGGTCTTGTGGCTCGATTGCGATAACCGATTGAAAGTAGTCATTTAAAATTCTACATATTTCCTCCTCATTAACTGTAGTTTTACCTGTACTGTCCTCTAAAACTTATATTTAATGTTTAACTTTTTGCATTTTGTTAATATAAACATGAATCAATTTTGGGTTATTTTTTGAGGCTTGAATTATGGTTGATTCGTAATCTAGTACTGATTTTCTAACTTATTTTGCAACCTGTTTGCATGATTCGTTATATTTTTTACAAAAGATTTTGTGCCTAAAGGGCCCAGCAGCTCAGTACATTGCACACAGAGTTCTTTTTTTATTCATTGCCTCTTTAACTGACTGTGTTATCCATGGTATATTAAGTTTGCAAGCGTATTCTCTCTTTTGACAAAAAATATGGGAATATTCGTTTTTTGAGAAGCCACTAAATAAAGTTTTCCAGTCAAGTGATTCTGTAAATTTTGTTATTTTCTTATATTCTGCTTTATTCCATAAATAACGTGTTCGCCTAATTAATTGATGCCTCTTTTCAACGTTCGTAGTCTTAACAATGCCAGAAAAAAAGCGGTGTGTTTGTCTTTGTGCTGTAGCCCCCAATGGTGTTTCTTCTTTGATGTTGATGATACAATTCGGCTCGTCACTGATGATTAGGTCTGTAGTATTTTTTAATGCGCTTAGCAGCGAGTGCATATATGTCGGGAATAATATTACTTGTGATAGGTGATTATCCGCAAGGCATTCCTGAAAAGCCGTATCGCTAGGCCAGTTTCTGGAAACATGACCTACTGTGGCTACTCCTCTCACCTACGTCTATTTGTTCGTAACTTGTGTGTGCAAAATTAAAATCACCGTAAACTAATGTCGTTGCGCATCCAATAATGTTCAATACTGCCTTCGATTTAGCTAGTGAAGCTGTTGTCTCAAAGAGAACGGTGTCGTTTAGATTATGGGGTCGATACATTGATTTAAGAAGAGTATTCTCCTTGCCAAAGCAATATATCGTCAAACTTGTTCAATTTTTTTTTTAGTTTAATCGGCTAATTTTGAGTTTACGAGTACTGATACTATTCTTGATGCATAAAGCCACACCACCTCCACGAGATCCTCAATCTTGTTGATACAGATTATAACCTGCCAGTTCTGCTTTTGAAAACTCATTAAACTAAGTCTCTACGACAAAAATTATATCCGGGATTGCGATTTTAGATGTTGCTTTTAATCTGGCAGCTAATTCATCAAGTTTTAGTTTGCTGAGTAAATATGGATTGTGGATTATGAAATTTTTAAACGACATACTGACTTAATCGTAATCCTGGAGATTCCAATTGCTTTGAAAACCTCTTTGACTTAAGTATAATTGCTTAAAAATTATACTCGACTCGACTTTAGTATGATTGGCTTAAACTGTTAAAAAAAACTAAAAAACATAGTTATCTAGATCTGGAAACTTAGGGTATTGACAGTTATTTAGCAGTCGGTTAACATGCAGAGTCTCTTAAAT